CCCACCTCGAAGCTCTTCCAGCGGTGCGCGGCCAACGAAAATGGCCAGCAATGGGCCGAGGAGGCAAGGATGCAAGGGTATCCTTGCCCATCCTTACTGTGCGGGTTGACTGTAACCATACCCTTTGTAGTCCGGGCTGCCTTCGGTGGCCTGGGCCCCACTGGCCGATTTACCCCCCTGGATGGGGACATAGGCCGTTCCCTTCGGCCTTCAAAGAGGTGCATCCCCAACTGGGGTGGTAATTTGCTGTGGGTCTCGAAGGGGATGGGGATGGGGATGTGGATTGCTTCAACGATGCCGAGAAGCATCAGCCTCGAGGAGGGGGCGCCGAAGGACGTTCGCCTCAACGCACAGCGACGCCGCGCGCTGCCCTCGGCGGCTGGGCAGCCCGGGGCGCCGCGGGAGCGGAGCACAGTGTCAGGCCGCGGGCGGTGTGCCGGCAGCGGGGCAGGAGCCTCGCAACGAGCAGGGCACACGAAGCACGCATCGAACACCCCCCCCCGCGGAAGAAGCGGAAGCGCGTGCAGGCGCGTCGGGCGATACAGTCAGGGCGTCGACCTAAGGAACCCTACATGAGGGACGAGGCCGTTTTTGTTTCCATAGGTCAGCCTTCGATCTCCCGTCGAAAACCAAGGAGGAAAGCCTCAGGCAAGCCGCGAAACAATTACGGAGCAGAGGGGCCCCTCCCCAACGAAAAGGGTTCGTTCTGCAGCGCCCCGGCTGCAATTTCTTCTCCACGCCCCCTCTTCCCCCGTCCTCGCTGTCCTCGACCTCCTCCTCCTCCTCCTCCTCCTCCTCCTTGTCCTCCTCATTCTCCTCCCCACGGCTCCTCCCAATCCTTCTTCTCTTCATGCTTCTCTCAATGACCTTCTCGCTTCCGGCTCCTGCCCCTCCTCCTGATCTTCCTCCTGCCGATCCTAACTCTATACTCCTCCGGGGGGTACGGCGACACGCGAAACGTGCTAAGTCAAACTGGTCCGTAACACGCATATTTCCAACACGAAGCGGCGTCCTCGTCCTCCCCCTCCAAACGTCGGCAAATCCGAGATGGTCTGCAAATGTTCTCTTGGAAGTCTAACCCGTGTCGACGCCAACAACTTCACCTCCTGCTTTCTCCGATCATGTCGTATCCCGCACTCTTCCCGCCACTGGCCAACACGAAATGATGAGCAGCTTCGTTGTTCAGTGTCTGGTTATGGCTGGCGGCAGCTCCTGGCGGGGAAGAGACGATGCCGACGAGGAGGAGGAGCACGAGGATAAGGAGGAGGAGGAGGAGGAGGAGGAGGAGGAGGGGGAGGAGGAGGAGGGGGAGGAGGAGGAGGAAGGTCATGCTACAATCATGAGAAAAAAAAGGATCGGGAGGGTGGACGATGAGGACGACGCGGTGCACGACCCGGGCACGCACCGCGCCACAGCGCTTCCGCGACGTCTCCCGGCACGCCTCCTGCAGAACCCGTGCGCCGCAACAGGCCCAACGCTCCCGAGCATCGTTTGTCCGATCCCCAGCCCCAGCGGCGTGGCCTGGGCCCCACTGGCCGATAAACCCCCCTAGATGTCGGGAGCGGCCAAGAGGGGGGTGTCCAAGAGGGGGGGGTGCAAATCATGACCAGCGGCATGTGCGCAGCCCAGCCCGGGGTGGCCAGGGACGTAATGAAACAAGAAGAAGCGCCATGAAATCTGGGGAAATATCATGGCCCACGCCATGAGATCCACCCCCCCTAGTCATCACCCCCCTCTTTTCCGCCCCCGAAGATGGGGATATGCAGTCGGACTCGATTGGAGAGGACACGCGAGAAGACACAAGACCCTGGGGCCACGTTGCCACAGGAATGCAGGAGGCATGGCTCGCAAGACACAGGACACGAGGGTGCCCTTGATCTGGCAGGGTCGACCTACTAATCCTGGCCGCCTGTAGGCCGTTCCCTTCGGGTTTCGAGGGGTGTATCCCCGACTGGGGGGGTAATTTGGTGGGGGTCTCGAAGGGGATGGGGATAGGGGATGGGGATCGGTTAAACGATCCAGAACTCCTTCCCTGGCTCGCGACCTGGCGAACTCACGACCAAAAGAGAACGCATCGCGCCGGAGAGCCATTGCGAACCGCGTGGGATGTGCAGAAGGGTGCAGCGGCAGACGGCAGGGAGGGTGGAGGACCGAAGCAAGAACGGAGCAGGTTGTGTAAGAGGGCTAAAGGGAGGAACTACAACGAGAAAGAGAGAGAGAGAGAGAGAAAGAGGGCGAGCGAGAGATAGAGAAAAAACGAAAGACGGACAGGGAGGGACATGGAGAAAGGAGACAGAGAGAGAGAATGAGGATACAAAAACATTATCCCGGCAAAGCAACCTAACAGCGATGTGTAGGAGCATATCTGGAAGCATTCCCCTTAAGATTCACATGATAATCCAGTTGTAGAATTCTGCTGTTCTCGCAGTCGCAGTCGCATTCGCGATGAAAGTCGCAGTGGCAACGGCAGTCGCAGTCACAGCCTCAGCCTCAGCCTGCCTCAGCCTCAGCCTCAGCCTGCCTCAGCCTCAGCCTCAGCCTGCTTCAGCCTCAGCCTCAGTCTGCCTTCAGCCTCGGCCTCAGCCTCAGCCTGCCTCAGCCTCAGCCTGCATCAGCCTCAGCCTCAGCCTCAGCCTGCCTCAGCATCAGCCTGCCTCAGCCTCAGCCTCAGCCTGCCTCAGCCTCAGCCTCAGCCTGCTTCAGCCTCAGCCTCAGTCTGCCTTCAGCCTCGGCCTCAGCCTCAGCCTGCCTCAGCCTCAGCCTGCATCAGCCTCAGCCTCAGCCTCAGCCTGCCTCAGCATCAGCCTGCCTCAGCCTCAGCCTCAGCCTGCCTCAGCCTCAGCCTCAGCCTGCTTCAGCCTCAGCCTCAGTCTGCCTTCAGCCTCGGCCTCAGCCTCAGCCTGCCTCAGCCTCAGCCTGCATCAGCCTCAGCCTCAGCCTCAGCCTGCCTCAGCATCAGCCTCCTCAGCCTCAGCCTCAGCCTGCCTCAGCCTCAGCCTCAGTCTGCTTCAGCCTCAGCCTCAGTCTGCCTTCAGCCTCGGCCTCAGCCTCAGCCTGCCTCAGCCTCAGCCTGCATCAGCCTCAGCCTCAGCCTCAGCCTGCCTCAGCATCAGCCTGCCTCAGCCTCAGCCTCAGCCTCAGCCTCCTCAGCCTCAGCCTGCTTCAGCCTCAGCCTCCTCAGTCTGCCTTCAGCCTCGGCCTCAGCCTCAGCCTGCCTAAGCCTCAGCCTGCATCAGCCTGAGCCTCAGCCTCAGCCTGCCTCAGCCTCAGCCTGCCTCAGCCTCAGCCTCAGCCTGCCTCAGCCTCAGCCTCAGCCTGTTTCAGCCTCAGCCTCAGTCTGCCTTCAGCCTCGGCCTCAGCCTCCGCCTGCCTCAGCCTCAGCCTGCATGAGCCTCAGCCTCAGCCTCAGCCTGCCTCAGCCTCAGCCTGCCTCAGCCTCAGCCTCAGCCTGCCTCAGCATTCAAAATGTGGCCCGGGAATGGAATTCTGGGAACTCGAAGAACACGAAGTGGCCTACAGTTTGCTCCGGGCATTCAAAATCATGCCCAGGAATGGAGTTCTGGGAACTCGAAGACCACGAAGTGGCCTAAGTTGGCTCCGGGCATCCAGAAATGTGGCCCGGGAATGGAGTTCTGGGAAGTCGAAAGCACGAAGTGTGTGACTGTTTGCGAAAAACGAGGTTCCGCCGGTCCCCGCCCCGGAACCCCAACGGCTCCCCAACGGCTGCCCAGACCCCCCTGTGGAGTAATGTGCTGCTCTCTTTTTAGCCCATTAGAAACCTATCAGTCTTCGCTGTTAGGTAATAATAATCACATCAATCGACCTAGTTGGTGCAACCGTAGGCCGCACTTGGATGCTCACGCACAGAACAATTCATGAACTGGCCATGCCAACAAATCCAATGCAAACCCTCGTTCGAACAGCCTGGACTCCTCAACATAGAAATGCAAAGCGGCCGTCACGATCAACTGATGGCAAGCATGGCAAGTCGAGAGACATCTTCAGGTCCAGCAGAAGGGTCTACGTAAGATACTGCCACCTGGGTTGCGTCAGCGCCGATCGCACACCAAGGTGCATGTGTGGCTTCAACACCCTGGTCGATCCATCCTCGCGCATGAATATCTCTCTCTCTCTCTCCCCCTCTTTCTACAAAGGCAAAATGCATTGCGAGTCCAAGAGTCGCTTGCCAAGAGTTTATTTGAAAGCGGACAGGCCGCCAATGACTCCAACAATAATCCGTCGTCACGTGTGCGACTGCAACGAACCGGCGAAGCAACTGATCGTGCAATTGTTAGGCTGCGCTCAAGTCACACATTCAAGTCCAAAGCGAGAGTGGCAGCTGAAGGAAGAGGAAGAGGAGGACACCACGACGAGGAACAAGCGGTTGACCCGTCGCGGAACCATATCACAAGACAATATATATATATATATATATATATTTCGAACGTTGTCCTGGGAGCCTGCGGCAAGGCCGAATGCGTTGATGCGTAATTGACCTGGCTAGCACGGGGACCCCAAAGCCTCTCCCCAATGCCCTCCCTCGGCGTTTCCTTTGCCTTACTCTAGGCCTAATTACTCTTAAGCCTTCGCAGACGAAGTATGCTTAGGGCCGACCGCGGGGAAAACCTCGGGTAAGGCCCGGGGAAGGATGTATGGGGTAGGCCTAGGAGGAAGGCCCATCGGGTAGGCCTTGGTAAAGGGCCTCGGGCCAGGGGAGGAGGTCTCGTTTGGGTCCGCGCAAGACCCCACCCCGCTAGACTTCTTAGGATCTCGCGACTGCGACGGCCGCTGCTCCACTGGCAGTTCCCCGGAGGGGTGAGGCCTCGATTCGGTTCCGCGTAAGATGTCACTCCGCTGGGCGTCCGAGAGAATCACGAACGTGGCGACAACTGCGCAATCGGCCGCGCACATGCAGGGCGTTCTCTCGCCCGCGCCCGCGTAAGATACCACTGCGGCAGTCCCCCCAAGGAGTTCACGAGAGCACCGGCTGTTGCGCAGCAGACAGCGCCAAACGGTGGAGGCGGCCTCGTTTGGGTCCCTGGCGGTGCCCGAACGAGATGTTTTCGACATCCCGGCGCATCAGGCTCACACGGTTCCTCCACTTCCTCCAGTTCCTGGACAGTTCTTCCTTCACCTCCTCCCCGTCCTCCTCTGACATTAACCCATCCACCCACTTGCTTCTTCTGTCGCTCCTGCTCCTCCTCCTCCTCGTCGTCCTCGTCCTCGTCCTCGTCCTCGTCCTCCTCCTCAGCGTCCCTGTCCTCGTCCTCGCATGCCACGTCCTCGTCCTCGTCGTCCTCCTCCTCTTCCTCGGTGTGGTTGGCAAGATGGTCGCCGGCCCCCCGAGCAGCGGGGCGCGGGCAGGGCGGCGCGCCAGCAAAGCCCAGCGATACATGGGCCTGCGCAAGCGGGAGGGCGCCGCGACGCGGCGGCGCTCCAGGATGGCGACGGGAACGGGGGAGGAACATGTAGGAACGGGGCTGACTGCGTTGGATGGGTCACGTGTGTAATGCATTTGAGGGGCTAGCGAGCGGCAGGCATCAAACCAGAAACATCCACTGGATATGTGTATGTATGTGTGCATGTATATATATACACACACGTGTGTATATGTGTGTGTATCCTATAACATATGGGGGGTAGACGCGCACACACGCGTGGAAATATGTTATATACAAAACGCACACCACAATTCAAGCCATGCGTTGATGGATGGATGGCAGATGGCAAGGGACGAAGGGAGAGAGGGATATATAGAGAGAGGGAAAGAAGAGAGAGAAGAAAGAGAGAGCGATATAAACAACATACAGCAAACAAATGAGAGAGAGAAAATAGAGACAAACACATATACATATATGGAGGACGAGAGAGAGGGAGAAAGAGAGAGAGAGAGAGAGAGAGGGAGAGAGAGAGAGAGAGAGAGAGGGAGAGAGAGAGAGAGAGAAAGAGAGAACGAAACATGAAGAAAGAGAAAGAGAAGCACACACTTTTCTTCACCTGCGCGAGTGGCCGCCCTGTGGCTTAATGGAAAAGAGGCAAAAGCAGCAGCGGCAGCGGCGAGCAGCCCGGGCGCGGCCGAGGCCGGCCTCGCAGCGCGCCCCGGCTCTGCGGGGAGCGCACGCCCCCCGCGCGGCCGGAGAAGCCGACGCCGCGAGGCCGCCTCCAGCTATAGGCAGCGCGCGCCCCCCGCCGCCGCTCGAAGCGGCGGCGGGGGGCCGGGCCCCCCGCCGCCGCTTCGAGCTGGAACGCAGGCCCCCGCGCCCCCCCTGGGCCCCTGCGACGCGCGCCCGCGCGCGCGCGGCGCGGCGGCCTGGCCCTCGCGCGCGAGGTTGGCCCGCCTCTGCCTCTGCCCAGAGGCGCGCCGAGGTGGCGTCCAGCTCCGGGGTCAAAAAACGGCGACGGAACCGGTAAAAAAACGGCGTCGGAACCGGCAACAGAAGCAGCAAAACTGAGCCAGCAAAAAAACAGCTGTCGTTTCCAGGGCCCACTAAGGCATTGACCCCCGTCTCAAGGCCCCCAAGCTCTGCTCGGGGATCTTCTGACCCGGGTCGATCCAGACCCGGGTCAGCAGGAAACCAAAAAACTGCAACGCGGGAAAAACACTGCAACGCAGGTTTTCGCAAGCCCGGGTCAACCAATGTGCGCGGCCGCCTCGCGGCCACGAGCGGCTCGCGAACCTGGGTCAGCCAGAGGGGGTCTTCGCAGGATCCTGCAGGACCCGGTGCCTTGGCTGACCCCCGTTTGCATCGACCCCCGTCTTGAGCCCCGACCAGGGCGATCCCGCCGGCGGCCGGGGCGCCGCCGCAGCCGGGCGCGCCCGCCGCGGTGGCCCACAGTGACCCACAGATCCGACGTACTGGTTTTTTGAATGCGTGCATGGCCCCGGGAAGGGTCGCCCCATTCCCCAGGACCGGTTTTTCATCCGCGCCGCGCGGCGGCGCAGCGCCGAGCTCCCGCAGCCGGTCTCCCCGTCGCTGCTGGCGTCCCAGCCTGGCCCCAAAGACCCACCTCATTGAAAAAGTCAAGACGGACGTTTTTCGCAACGTTCGGCCTCTAGGGGCCCCCACTGGGCCCTGGGGGTCCCAGGCTGGGACTGTTAGAAAACGACTCAGGATGAAAGACCGACCCAGGAGAATGTCGGGTCGGGCGAAAGGGGGGGATAGCAAAGGGGGGGGTTGGGAATCAGCTCGCGTAGCTGATTTTCCCGGCGCCTCCCGGCGCCGGAGGCGCCTATGCGTCGAGGAATGGGCCCCTCGGCGGGGCCGAAACCAGCTGCACGCAGCAAATTTCGCAATCCCCCCCTTCCCCAAACCCTCCTTTCCCCAGACCCCCGACGTCATGATTTTTGCATGACGTCGACCCCCAGAGGTCTGGGCCCATTCCCCAGGACCGGTTTTTCATCCTGGGTCGTTTTTTGACGGTCCCGAGGGCCGGTGAGGGCCCCTGGAAACCAAAAATCATGCAGAACCTCCCGTCGAGATTTTTCCACGACTCGAGGGGGTCTGGGTCGTTCGGCCCGAGAATGGGTCGACCCTTCCGGGGGCCCCGCATGGAACAGATCGCAACCTCGGCTCTCTGGGGCTCCGCCGCGCGGCCTGCGACTGCGGCGCCGCCCGCGCGCGCCGCGGCGGGCCCACCGCGTCGCCGCCGTCGGCGCCGTCGACGGCGTCGGCCCGGGCGTGGCCCCCAGACCCCCGAGGCAATGATTGTTTCATTTAACGGGCGAAGAACGGTATAAAATAAACTGTTTCGCTGTCGGGGGCGCCTGCCCCAGGGCGGCTGGGAAGTCTATACACTTACGGTGGCACCGTAGGGGTATAAACTTTCCATCCGCCCAAGCAGGTGTCCCCGACGGCGAGAAAGTGTATTGTATACCGTTCTTCGCTCGCTGATTCATGACGTCGACCCCCAGAAGTCTGGACCCATTCCCCAGGACCGGTTTTTCGTCCTTCATGAGTCGATTGAAGTTGACGGTCCCGAGGGCAAGTAAGGGCCCCCAGAATCCAAAAATAACGAAATGTCTTATTTTTTCACGGCTCGAAGGGGTCTGGGCCTGACGCGCACAGCCCCGGCACACTCCCGCTCGAGCAGCCGGAGTGGGCTCGTCCAGCGCGTCGCATTCCTCCTCGATGTCGGGAAGTCGCCCGCGTCGAGGTCCACCGTCGCTGGGGGATCCGGCCGGCCAGCAGCGGCCGCGGCGGCGTCGCCGCGGCGGGGGCTCACAGGCCCCGGGCCTCGGATTCCGTGTGGCCGCGCCAGTGGATAGAAAGAGAAGCGCACAAAACGAGAACGAGAGATGCATTTTTATATATATATATATATATATATATATATAGAGAGAGAGAGAGAGAGAGAGAGAGAGAGAGAGAGAGAGAGAGAGAGACAGAGAGAGAGAGAGAGAGACAGACACAAACAAATGTGAGGCATACATATATATACACACACACTAGAACCACGCGCGCGCTTCGCGCGCGCGCTTAGGTTCTAGCCCAGACGCTGGCGACTGCAATGTCGAATGGTCTAAGCCTTCTTGGCCCGTCTTGGGGCCGTCCTGAGGGTCTCCTGGGTGGTCTTGGGGCGGTCTTGGGAAGCTCTTCGGCGCTCTTGGACCGCTGGAAGCTTGAAAACGCGAGAAGCCAAAAACATTGAAAAGACCATTGAGCATGGGAAACCGCAGCGCGTGATCCGAAACCGCTCTCCATCTGTGAAACTGCTGTCACTCTTTATGCTTCAGAGCCATACCTGGTGAGGAAGTCTCCCGCGAAACGCCCACCCCCGCTCAGAAAAACTTGCCTCGGGGTGCGACAGGGAGGAGTTATCTATCAGGAGAAGGAGTGGATTAGGAGGAGGAGGAGGAGGAGGAGGAGGAGGAGGAGGAGGAGGAGGAGGGGGAGATGGGAGAAGGGGAGGAGAGGGGGAGGAGACGGAGGAGGGGAGGAGGAGGAGGAGGCGGAGGAGGAGGAGGAGGGGTAGGACGATAGGGCCCGCTCCCATCCCGCTTGGCAAGCGCCGCGTTCGGCACATCAGCTCCCTACATGACCTCGCGGGGGCCGGTGTGTGGCGGGCGCGGCCGGCGGCCCCCGGCTGGCACGGCCGGGCATGAGCAAGCCGCCGCTGCGTCGGGCCGCAAATCGTCCTATTCCTCCTCCTCCTCCTCCGCCCTCCTCCTCCTCCTCCGCGCCTCCTCCTCCTCCCTCTTCTCCTCCGCCTCCCTCCTCCTCCGCCTCCTCCTCCCTCTTCTCCTCTCCTCCTCCTCCCTCCTCCTTCTCTCCTTCTCCTACGTCTCCTCCTTCTCTCCTACCTCCTCCTCCT